GTACCTAGACGTTTAAAAAAAAAAGACGTAACAATAGAAACAAATAAGTGTCCACCTAAAACTTTATTTAGTTTAAAAAGTGCGTGGAGAAACGGAGATACTCTCAGTAGAAGCACAATCCCCCGCCCACCGAGGTCCACTCAGCACAAAGCCCCAAAGCCCCAATAGCAGCAGCAGCCGAGACACATCCGTACGCGTGGAGCTGTCACCTGCACGTTGCTTGGATACACGTGCGCTGTCACCTGCACGTTGCTTGGATACACGTGCGCCGTCACCTGCACGTTTCCCAGGTGCTTTAGAACTGTCACCCGCACCTTCCTCAGACGCATTAAAGGTGTCACCTGCACCTTCCTCAGACGCATTAAAGCTGTCACCTGCACCTTCCTCAGAGGTATCGTAGCTGTCACCTTCACGTTTCCCAGGCGCATCGGACTGGTCAACCCTTTTGAGTTCCATGGCATTCAGTGGACGGTTGTACAAAAAGACGTTCTTTACTGTCACACTAGAGTTTCCGCCGGCACCAAAGTAGAACTGTGAGACATCGTAATTCCGTGCCTCAGGGGTTGGTAGTGTGTAGGAACCCCCCACAAGCACGCCGTCCACGTACACGGAGCCCCAGTTACCCTGCAGCATGAGCGCCACCTGGTACTCCCTCCCCAGCTCCCAAGTGCTGTTGCGTGTTGTTGTCATGCCGTTGAGGACTGTCCCCCACTGTTTCTTCGTTGTGTACGACAACCCCACAAACGCCGTATTTTTGCGGTCCTCCAGGCCCGCACGCACAGAATAACGATCTCGTTCGGAACCTTATGAATCATCACCATTGCCACAAGCGTAAACGCGTGATTCACAAAGCCGTGCACATAATGATGCGTCCACATGTTCACCGGCCACACAGCGTATGACCCATACTCCGTGAACTTAAAGCCATTTTCGACCTTCGTTGCATTCGTCACAGTTGCATTCACGCAACGGTACGCGTCGTTCCAAGTTCCTTCACCCGATGCATCCGACAAGAATCCAACCAGACCGGTCGTGGGCACAGAGGAGTTGGAGAGGAAGGAGTCCAGTTTTGCCCAAGTCTCCAAGACGGACGTAATCGTCTTCAGCTCCTCCGTTAGGGAGGAAAAAATCAGGGCTGTGGTCGTTTCACTGAGTTCCTCCTGTAAAAGGTGCAACGCATCGTTAGAGTGCAGCAGAGCGTTGTCAGACGTCCACTTCTCTGTAGTGTCCATGGAAATGGGCCCGAGGTAAAACGTGCGGCTGTCGTCAGTGACCCAAAGGTAGAGCGCGGTGGCTTGCACCTTGGCCCCAGGGGGAATCCCTTTCTGAGTGTACAGCATGACCTTCTTTGCAGCAATGGTCGCAGTGGTGAGGGACCCCACTCTCTCAGCTGTTCGCAAAGAGTTTGGTAACAACATGGGCTGCACGCGTGTGAGTGTCCTGACAGCCTCCCTCCACGTTGCCCCCATGTCCCTCGACTCGAACACCTTGGAGAGCGAATCGCATTTGGCAACCATGACAAGCTGCCCCTGCTCCCACTCAACGATGAGGGGGTCAGTGCACCCCACGGGGAGCATCCCATGTGAAAGCACCCAATTTTTGCCGTCGTCCTTCGAATAAATGATCATGGACACAGTGTCATTCTCTTTTGTCCTTCTCGCGGTCACAGGAAACACAAGCGTGCCATCCCCCATCACAACGCCTGAACCACCAGCACCAACAAACTGGTCCACGCCACGTTGTTTAGCAGATGGTTCGATCTGTGGCAAAAGCGAGGTGGGTTTGCCCCATTGGATGACTTTCTCTTGCGTGGCCTCACCCACGAGCAAATCAAGACCCTGTGAGACTTTAATCCACTTCTTCAACGAAGGATCATACTTCTCATAAGAGTCTCCCACCAGTAGAAAGACCTTGTTGCCCTTTGCAGTTGTTGTGGGTCGGACCGCGTATATTGCATAGGACATATACTCCTCACGCATCGTCGTGTTAAAGATGCTGTGCGCCCTCCATTCGTTTGCGCTGACCTCAGCAACAAAAGACGACCAGTTCTCCGCAGTGTCAATGTACCCCGCCACAACATCAGCATAAACGATCGAAGTACGATATTTATCGGAGGATAGAGCTCTGGCCTGGGTCTTGGCAAGCGCAACCAAAACTCCACCAGCACTGACGAGAGAAGGTGAGACAAAGAAGACCCTCGTTCCACTTCCAGCACTTGTTTCCACAATCGTTCGATACGGCACAAAAAAATCAACAGCCTCTGGTGTTTGCGCTTCCTTTGGCGTATTTCCCTCCTCACCGTACACAGCCGTACCGCCGCAGCACACCAACAGCGCGCAGAGAAGGAGCAGCACCGAATACAAAAACATGTGCCGGGACATTTTGAGCATGTGTTACTCTCACTCACTGTCTCCCTTCACTCCTTGTAGGGAATGCTTTCAGGCCGCGACGATTGTGTGTGTGTGTGTGTTGCTGGTGGTGACTGCAGAGCGTTTCAATGTGCACAGCAGCAAGTAGCGTTTGGTCTCTTTCCTCCCGCGTGTATGTATTGAAAAGTAGTAAAGAAGAAAACAAAAAAAGGGAAAAAGATCGATACAACGATGGGCACCGCCCGCACACACAGCAAGACACAGGCAGAGAAAGAGGGCGAAGGGCCGAGAGCACAGCGACTACCGCCAGGAGCAGCAAATAAGAACAGCAACGACGGGGAACTGTAGCGTCGGCTGCGCACACGCCCCCGCACGGCACCACATGTGAGTCGCAGCCGTTTTACTTTTGCAGCCATTCCA